ATATGGACAGAGATAATAAGGTCAGAGAAGTCAACCAACATGGACCAATGCCCTAATGGACAAAGGATGGCTCAGGTTTCAGTGAGCTTTCCGGAGAGGGATCTAAAGAACGAATGGGAATTTGATGTCATTTTTTAGGAAATATGATGTGTTCCATTTCTAGTGTGTTGAGATTTGATATCTTTTAGATAACTAATTTTAGCTTCTCTTCTGTAGGAGGCATATGGGAGATATTATACAACATGAACAGCTCCAATGCTGCAGGAAGAGTATAGAGAAAACCAAAGGATATAAGGATAAGACAGGAGATACAGATGCAATAGTAAGGAAAAAAAGGGATAGATGGAAGACTAGACAGAGAGGATGTAAATCAGGACCAGGAAAAAGGTATCACTCTGCCCATAACAAAAACAGAAATCAATGTCACAGATTTTTTTAGAAGATTTATTATTAAAAAGCCATTTACAACCGAAATGGTGCACAACCAGAAGAAAAAAGTCCATGATTATAAACTGTTATAAATACATACAGAGTAAACTATTCTCTGCAGAAGGTAGAGTATGTTAATTTGAATAAAATTAGAACATATTGGCTTTCTAGTAACAGAATATGAATACCAGGTAGATTCAGAACTGAACCACCTACCTCCTACATCCAAATGGTAAATGCAATAGAATAGACTCAGAAGATGGGGGAGAGGGGAGCCACACAAAAGACAGTGATCAAGAACATGGCAACAGTGGATGACATCAGAGGAAAGCAGAGTCACAATACCAACTAAAGTGCCAGCATTTGCAATGTATGCCTATGGTATGCAACACAGGTACACACAAAGACGTTCATTGCCCTAATCATTATACTGCATGAAAGGGGGGATAACACCTAAATACAATAAAAGCAATGTATCTCAAAATATGGAGACTTTTTTGGGTTGTCTGAGTGAGCCTGGACTAGCATGAATTTGTTGGCAAGATTTTGCCAACGAAGCAAATGAGCGATAACTGAACATGACAGCTGACACTGGTTTCAACCTCATGAAGCCTGCAGGACCAGGTTAAATTTCCAATCTACATAATCATAGCATTTGCTTTGTTTTAAGTCCAGAGAGATTTGTTTTAGCAGCAATAAACCAGAAACTAAGAAAATCCTATAGGACGCCAATGGCAAGTTATAAATAACAAAAGCCAAAAAATGCTTGGTCCTACACACCAGTATAATCCTACAGAGAAGACACTCAATAGATTAACTAAGAAAAGCTAAGGAGGGGAACGGAGGGCAGCTACACCTCTACCACTGGCACCTGCGGGAATCTCTAAATGGATTACCTTTATAATGTGAAGAAAGATATGCTTTCTTGTCATGGTGGTAAGGTATATATAGTAAGCTAGACATTTTTATTATTTGAAGACAAAGGGGAAAACTGAAAGGGCTAACTCTAAGAGACCATGCCTGTAATAAGCAAGTCTCTTTCAGCTGTACCTATCAAGTTCATGGTGTTCAAAAAGTCAGTTTCATTACAGACAAGAAAGAGTTCAAGAGTCTCCACTAAAGTTGATTTTAGGTATCAAGGTTGTATGTATAGGCAATGTTGAGCCCAACTAGCTCATACATCTAAGATCCACACAACACAAAGATGGGCTTTCAGTATGTACCAAAATATAAACAAGGATTGGAGGAAGCTCTTAGGAAGTTTAGCTGAGGACAAGTGAAACGGCTCAGCAAGTAAGGGTGTTTGACACCAAGCCTAACAACCTGAGTTCAACCCCTGGAACCCACATGGTTGAAGGAGAAATGACTTTAGCAAGTTGTCCTCTAACCTCTATACATGCTCTGTGGAACACACATCCATGCAGATATGCACACAAATAAATACACATAAAGTTTTAAATGTATAACTAAAACTTCACAACTATTCTAGAAACTAAACCATTATAAGACCAAGAAAATCAATTCTCTAAGCAAAGATAAAATGTTAAAGTATTGCACTATACTTTGCATTCATTAAATAATCAAGGCAGTAATATTTCAGAGGACTATCTTGAGGAAGAAAAACAAGTGTTCTTCAAAATAAAGTTGCTACTTCTTATACAAATTAAATACTTTCCATAATTGGTAAATAGGAATAATTGTTTTTGAAACTGCACAATTGTGACACAAAGATTCTACATATAAATTTTAAATATGATGAAACCTTTACAAGCACAAATGCCAAAAGGTTAGCATACCTGATTATTAAATGTTCCAGTCAAAGAAAGTTTATTAATAAAAAATTATTCTCAGCCACAAATGAGACATCTTTATCTCCTTCCTCCACTCACGGCTCAAGACCCAGAAAGGTCCTAAGGGTCCGAAGAGTGGGAGGACATATGTAAACAATGTCTTCTGGATATGAAAGAACCATGTATTCTTCAACTCACAGGAGCTGTGGTTGTGTGCACAGAGCTATAAAAGATCAAGCCAGTCCATTCCAGCCAAGAGGGAGGAGAGGTGCGTGAGCCCCTACCCCTAACTGAAAAGCTCTTGACAGTTGACTGGCTGTAGGGGAAAGAGAATGATTTTTTTTTAAGGCCATGCATCCTAGTAGGCTGAGCATTCTCAACCTTCCAGATTATGAGCAACACAAATTGGACTCAGTGAGTAATATAAACATTATGTATTTATCATAAATATAAATATTGTATTATATATGTATAGATATATAGATATATGGTGATATGAAATTGGGAAGGGGTACAGCAGTGGGGTAGATCTGGGAGGAATTATAGGGAGGGCTAAGACTGAATATAATCAAAATATATTGTATACATATGTGAAACTCACAAAGAATAAAGAATATGTACAAATATATATTTTCAAATATTACAGGTCAAGTGCAGTGTAAGTCTAGCTTTCTCCACCGACATAAAACCAACTATAAGCAAACAGTGGTTTTCAGAAAAGTCTCTAACTCTCAATTACAGAAGGAAAGAAATCCCTCCTCAGTTTCCTCAGCCTTCACCTTCTGAGCCAAGAGCAGGTTTTACATTCAAAGCATTCTAATATGTTCTATATGTTTGGAAGAAGGCTTAGGAATGACTCATCCTTCGCAGATTTAGCAGCCCCAGCAAAGGAACACTTCCACTCTACTTCTGCTAAATCAAAAGGAGGTTTGATTGAAAAGAACTATTACCAAGCAGACTTGCCTAAGATTTAATAAGTGATCTGGTCCAGTTATTCATCAAGTATCCAGAATCACTTCCAATAGTCAAGATCCAACTGACCTGCACATACTTCCCTGTACTTATAAGTGATCCTAGCAGTCACAAAAAGAACAGTAAAAACCATATTCGGTATTCTTGGATGGTTGTCCTTTTAACTAACTGCATGAGATCATAAAATGTGTTCTCTATAATGTTTAACCGCAATAGGCTGCTTTCTCTACTTACTCAGATGGGTACTCACAATTAGAATTTAAAAAGGGAATTTTAATGTAGCTAGAAGAACCATAATAGTACCATTCCAAAGTTTCACAGATAATTAAGGTCCATATTCATTGCACTGAAGGAAGGGCCCTCTGCCACGGCAAGCCTGCAAAGGTCAAACTGAAGAGAGCTACCTTCACACAAGCCTCATTTCTAGTGACAAAGGCTAGCAAAAAGAGGTTTCTTTGTTCTTGGCCAAGATTATATAGCAGTTCATAGTGTCAACAGGGAAGGAATTTCAAATGTGTAGGTAAAAATGAAAACTAACACTCTATTAGGAGTTGACATAATAGCGACAAGTTTCCCAAGTCTTAAGTTTGTGAAAGTCAAGTAATAAACATTAAAATTATATCCAGAGTCACTGGCACTTACTAAAAATTCTATGAAAACAAACTGGACTTTTATATTCTATCTGGGGTCTTTCTGATGATCTAGGTGTTAACACTAGACCAAGTACTTGTGTTTTAAAAAAATAAAAAAGTAATGTGTGATGCAAATACAACACTCCTGTTGAATAATTATGAGATATTAATAGGCTCCAAATTTCACGTGTATCTTAAACCCTAAAATAATGAGCAAATGCAGCAATTCCCTAAAAACGGGTAGAGCTTTCAGAAGTAATAGAGCAGACATCTACAGAATAAATCATAATTTAGAAATACACACAACACCTCAGAAGGGCTTAGAAAATCCTTTCATAATCTGTTATCTTTCCAATCTAACTTTTCTGACCTCTCACTAGTCCCAGAAGTAATTCAGAGCTGAGTTCTACAATTTTGTGTAGTGTTTTATGTCCTCCATAGCAAGAGACTGCCTTTCCTTCTGCCTAATTCAAATCCTAAACTGTCACTTGGCCAGGGCTGACTTTCTCTGCAAATTTCCCGAAAACAGTGTAATATGCTACTATCTGCTGTATTTTCATTGAAGCTAATTAGGGATCTCAAAAACTAAAGTAGTTTCTTCCTACTCTGAACATATAGAGAACTGAATTGTTAAACACTACCTTCTGGCATTGCTTATAGCATTCTTCAAATATTTGTTTTGAATCATAATAGATATGAAATTTGAAAGTAGCAACTATATAAATAAAAATCAATCTATATAAAATCAGCATCCATTTGTAGCAAATGGTTTCAACGTACTTAACATGCATGGATTCCTGATCAAATCAGTTCATTTAGATTAAAAGCCAGAGGCTGAATCTGTCAGAAAGTCACAGTTAAAGACCAAATGAAGATGGCACCAAAGGACATCATACATCTCTACAAGAAAAGGCACAGCACAAAGGGACCAGGTTCATTTCTACGGAAACAACTGAGAGAGTGCCTGACATCACATGGATGCACTGATAGCTGGGGATGGAATAAAACAGGGACAAAGAAACAACCCAGAACATTCTATGACAAGAAAGCACTGCAACCATCTGAAGAGCAAATGAACTCGATCACACAATCTATTCAAGATAAAAGAATGCCATTTGATACTTCAGTTGTTAATAGATACAGAATAAAATGGAAAACCAAAAATGGAAACTCTTACCATCATCTTCTCAAAGAGTTTGAAGACCTCGTTCTCAGAAAGCAGCTTTTCCCCTGTCTCTGAAGCCACTGAGGAGCGGTCACTGCTTCCAAATGCAATCTTCAGATGGTGAAGAGGAGGTCTCTCTTTCCTGCTCCCTGGAATTCTTATGCTAGCAAATTTCTCCAGCTATGAAGAAAGAAAATAGCAAACAAGTCAATATTTTCTCATGCATTAACACCTATCTAGTTCCAAAAACAAAGAAAAACACAGGCCAATCACATCGTCACTGATTCATTCAATGACAGTCACAAACAGAAGCTTCAAAGTTAAAAGTATTGTATACAAGTTTTGAAAACGTTCCAGCAGTAATCCTATTAAAAGGCAGAAGGGAAATCACACAACTTCAAGAGTCTTTCAGATTTTAAAAGTCACAAATTTTTACATTAAAGATTCTGACTGCCAGATGACCTGTTCTATAGATGAGCAAACTGAGCAGTTTAGCAAAAGCCAAGTCAGCTAGCAGTGATGGCACCAAATGTTACTTCCGGGCCTTTATGGCAGCGCCTGCCCTTGTCCAGTGCTCTCATGCAGACTGTCCCCTAGCAGGGGACAAGGAGTAGCACAATAGGACATGGATCAGGAATTTAAATTTTGAACTGTAATGCCTCCATAGTTTACTCACCTGGTAACATCGTTTTTAGCTCCTGCCAGCCTACATCTGAGCTCTGTGGATACCCACAGATTAGGCCCCTAATGAAGTAGATTTTTGTTTTAACGGGATGTTTTCTGTAACAAGATCAAACAGCTGACCGTTTTTTGAAAATATATTAATATTAGCTAGAAAGCTAATTATCCATTCATTCAAAATTGTTTGTCCTCACAGAACCTAGATTCCAATTTCAAGACTAATAAAACTTTCAAAAATCAAAAAGGCAAAAATTTTAAAGATTACATGAATATAAGGTTATTCAAAACATAATTACTGATTATGTAAATCTCTCAACACTGCTATTAATATAAAATTATTGTTTTCACTATAACATGAATAGGAAACCAACAAGATTGGCTCAGTAGGCAAAGGCACTGGTCAACAATGATGATCTGAGTTTGCCCCATCCACCTGCATACACAAATAAATAAATGACTAAAAATGCATGGATTATAGAAGTGCAGAATATACTACAGCAGCACTAGTTACATCGGGTTATTGAGTTCAGTGGTTAGTTTATTATCTGCACAGCCAAATTTCAAGTGCTCAGGGTCATATTATTTAGTGGTTACCACAATGGTAAATCCACAACCAGAATATTTCAGTTACTGAAGAAAATCCTATTAAAAGAGCTATAGAACCATTAAAGAAAACTGACACCTAAAAATCTTTATTTGTAAAATACGATTCAATCATGCAATTATTTAATTCACCAAAGAACTAGGTCAACTAATAAGATGCAAAACTAATAATATTTATATTCAAAATAGGCTTCTGAATTGTCTATGAAGATAATGTCTAGGGAAAATGTTATACACTGTACTTAAACACAGGCTACTTGACATGAGCTAAACTTCTAAGTTAACCACTGCAAAACTTAGAAAGCAGTTACAACCTACCATTACTCTCATCCTAACAAACAAGACACAAAAAGCTGCAAAATGATAGTTGCTGGGTTTTCAATTCATCTGAAAACTAAAGACACAGAAATGGGAAAGAGAGGTTACTTGGAAAGGAAAGGGAGCAGAGAAATACGGGGAATGGAGAGATGTATGTACAAATGCTTTTTCTTGACATCATGCCTTCACTACTCAATAATACAGTGTTTTCATCGTATCAGGTATTATAAATAAAAACAAAGAAGTTCCTAGTGGCATTCTTAAATTTGTTCCATCTTAGAAGTACTTCAAAATTGAATTAAAATATTCCTCAAAACTAGATAGACCTGTTGTCTATCTTCCCACTTCTGGGAATGGAGTTCAACATCCTATATATCTCTAGGGACAAGGCTTATTCCTTTTGAGCCGTACATCAAGGTGTATAATTCATGTTGAGTGTAGCATTAAGTAACTTAAATAGGTTTAGAAAATATTCCTTCAAAAAAAAAAAAAACCAGAAGGGAAGGCCAGAAAAAATGAAATGCAAAGAGGTAGCATAAGCACTTTCTTCATGACCATTAGTTTGAGTTTACAAAAAATATCCTTCCTGTCTTCCACCATGGGTCAGAGATAGGAAAATAAAGAGCAGTTGAGTGTTCAATGACATACTGATTGCTGCATAGTTGCTGGCTGAGTGATCAGAAAACTACAGTTCTCTCAGAAAGCCCCAGAGGACAAATGTGCCACCAGCTCTTCCAGATTCTTTCTTGCCACATCTGCAGCATGCCAAAAGTTGAGGAAAGCAGAAGCTGATTGACATCCTTCCTGAGGCACAAAAGGCTTTCAGTAACTGCAAGCTGTCCTCCTAGATGCAGACCAAGAAGGACCTGATTGAAATGTCCATGACACATCCAGGGTTCGCAAGGATCATGGCTACTGTTATCTGAAGTGCTCAACACAGCTGACAAAGTCATAGTCTCCTGAAGAAACAGAGAGCAAACTGGAGCTAGTAACAAAGGACAACTCAGCCTTAATCCTAAAAATGGACATCAGATTTAAAACAGAAATCTACCCCAGGATTTTGGAACTTGCTAGTTCAGTGGTAAAGACAAAATTGGACTGCCAGGTGCTGAGGCACTTGCTGCACAAGCAAGGGGAACTGAGTTAAAATCTCCAGGACAAAGAAAGCCAGGTGTTGTTTTAGGGATGCTGGTAAACTCAGCAAATCAAGGCTGTTGGACAAGTGGGGCAGGAGGTCACTTGCTAGTCCTCCATATGGCACAAGGTTCGGTTTCTAAGAATAAGAAAAGCCTCGAGATGCCTAGCAGTTAAAGTGCATACTGCTCTTACAGTGACCAAGTTCAGTTAACTGCACCCAGGTAGGGTTACTCACAACACCTGTGATTCTAAGTCCAGAGGATCTGATGCCTTCTGAATTCCACAGGCACCTGTGCTCACATGTGCACATACACACACATAGGAAAATAATTAAAAATTAGATATTTATAAATGATAGACAGATAGAAGCAGACAATGATCACAAGACAGGCAATGCCCTCCCCTGGCCTTCATGAATTTTCACACACACAAGCATACACATGCACACATGCACACATACACACACACATATCCATCATACTCACATACACATACACTCACACATACAAGCACACAGTGAAAAAAAAAAACAGAAGTTTGTCCAACTTTCAGTGATGTTCAGACACCAAGAACTCAAATCATGTAAAGCCGCAGAAGAGCTGAATTCAAACTAAAGAAACAGGGTTCAGGTTTCCCTGTAGTAAACTGACTGGCCTCCAACTCTAATAGCCTGGAAAAAGGGAAGACCTTTCTTTTCTAGGGAGAAAGGGAATGACACCTTTGACTTGTGAAGAAAAAGTCTTACGGTACTAAAATTCTCTATCAAAATTCCTTTAATAAGTAGAAGCAAAATAAGGAAAATACAGACAAAAGCTGAGAGACCCTGCCACCAGAAGGCCTGTTAAGTACAGCAGAAACTGCTAAGCTTTTCAAAGTAAAGGAAATAACGAGAGGTATAATTCCAGATCTACAAAAAGAAATGAAAAATCAATGGAGAATTCATCAGATAGCTGCTGCTAGGACAAAGAAAAGAGCTGTAGAGTCTAGAGGCACGAAGCAAGATGTAGGTAGATAAGGAACAAGTAGAATGTAGAATGTATTTACACAAAACACTGGCATCTTGCTGGGCGGTGGTGGGACATGCCTTTAATCCCAACACTTCAGAAGTAGAAGCAGGTGGATCTCAGCGAGTTCGAGGCCAGCCTGGTCTACAAAGAGAGTTTAAGTACAGCCAGGACTGTTAAACAGAGCAACCCTCTCTCAAGAAAAAAAGAAAAACCCCTGGCATCTAAATCACCAGGATAAGCATTCTCTACTACAAAAAATGTGTGCAGAAGCTATAGTCCCTATTTCAATTTGTACTCTGTGTCTTGACTACTCTTTGAAAACAAGTAGGAATAAAGAAGTAATTTTTGTAAACCAAAGAACTGGTTATTTCACCTTTAGTCACTGCTGAAGCTCTAACTTCTGTAGTTGTACATGTAGAATAAATTTCCAAGTATAGAAGCTATCCCAACTCTTATCAGGCACAAAGTGCAATGAACTAACATGTGAAACTTATAATGAAGTGAAGGTAAACACAGCATCATTAATGCAAACACGTCAGTAAGTGGGAAAGTGAACTGAACTGAAGTGTTCAAAAGCCAGTGTGCAGTGCACAACTACAGCTTCGTGGGTGATGCAAGAGCTCATAAAATGTTCATTTTCTACAAAAGCCTGTACTTTTAAAAATAAGAGCACCTAAAAGTAATAAAACGTAGAAAAGTGAGTTTATATATGTCCTTTATCTTCTTTTATATATGTCAGGAATGAAGGTAACAACACAAAAGACAGCAGGGCATAAGTAATATAAATTTAGTCTGTGCAATAAAGAAAATGCATGTCTAAATAGAAGATAACATAACAAATTCCATAGCAGCAAACTTACAGATCACAAAGAAAACATTGCATCTGTAATCAAAAATTTATAGAAATAATAAAGTAAAATTAGTACATCTTCCCTGAATGTTTAGAATTAAGCTTTAGGGAAAGGTTCAATTTACACAGTGAAAAAGCAAATTTGCACCTCACCATCTTACAACTAGCCAATGGCAAAAATGAGGAAAATGAGCACATTCCTCTTCCAGCCTCTAAATCTGTGAAGATAGTAATATGAGATACAAAAGGATCAGTATTTTATGCTTTTATTGTAATATTTTTAATTTATTCTTCTTAATTAAAAAGATGAAAAACAAAATACGAGAAGAACCAGGACTGGTAGGATGCTGAGGGGATAAAGAGCTGCCAAACCTGATGAATTCAGTTCAGTAGCCAGGACTGAAATGGTGGAAGGAGAGAATAGGCTCCTACACGTTGTCTTCTGACCTCCACACATAGGTCATGATATCTACACACAAATACATACACCACATACACACAGAGAGATACACACATACACACAGAAAGAGGAGAGAGAGAGAGAGAGAGAGAGAGAGAGAGAGAGAGAGAGAGAGAGAGAGA